CTTTGTGAAGACACCAGTGCTGGGTGCAGGACGTGGTATTTTGCCTTTTCCTTATCTCCTGGTTGTTGACACTTGTGCAGCTTTCTCTTGCGTGTTTCTGTTTCACGACACTGGTGGTTTTGTACCAGGGAAAGGGCAAACACGCAGGGTTACCACCAAAGCAACGTGTCACTGGGAGGCATGTTCTTACAGAGCATCCTAAGGTGTGCCTTAACATGCTCGGAATGACACTGGGCAGTATGAACTCCACATGCAGGTGGACATCTGATAGGTGATGAGACGTGAACTCCTCTCCCAGGACTTCCTGGGTGGATTTGCTTTGTCAGAGGTCTGGGACGAACAGAGCCCGCGTCCGGCAGCGGGTGGGTTACGTCTACACGGACACGCAGCGCCTCGAGTGAGGGTGCAGTGAGGGTGCAGTGAGGGTGCTGTTATCTGCAGTGCATCCTGGAGACACTCAGCTCCAGAAAGTGCAGAATCAGCGAAGCCAAGTCACAATGAAACCATTTCTACGGATTTTACACTGTAAATTTTTGATGAATAGTTCATGTATTTACAATTCTGATGACTATTTCAATGACAAGTTCTGAAATGGAAGATGAATTTGAGTACTTTTTCTCTAAATGACAGGTACCTGTTTTCTTCTTGCTCAAGCAGGCTGCGGTACGTTGCTATCTCCTCCTCCAGTTTCATCCTCGTGTTCAGGAGAATTTCATGCTCCTGAAGCTGTTTCTCAATACCTCTTCTCACTCCCAGTAGCTCTTTCTCTAAGCATTCAATCTCAGCTTCTAAATTTTGTAGTTGCATGTGGTACTGCTGCTCTGTGGCACGCAATGAACGTTCCAAACCCTTTTCCTGTGAAATTTAACTCATATTTTAAGATTTGGAAAGTATATGTGTAAAGATGTTATGTACTTTTCACTAACAATCTGTATTTTTACATCAGTTCTTTTAAGAATATTCTTTAGGAGCAGGAGTACAGCTTTCAAGACAATACTTTTGCTGAGAAATTTCCTTTAATAATTTAAGATACGATAAAAAAATTTAGCCTTCTGTTGTACCAGCAATCCACTACTATTGATTTTATCTGTATGGTTAAAACGATATTCAGCTCAGTTCTGTAGGAAAACTGAGGGATCTGCTCTTGTAGCTTATCTATGTTTCTGAATTCAGTAAATTGCTGACATATTTTCTCATGAATGAATTGATAAATTTGGCCCACACATTTAACAAACGTTATAAACCTGATGTGAACTGTTCAGGTGGAATGACTGGGAACTCGATGAGGAAGTATCATGCAAATACATGTTTGGCAGGCATGAAAACATGGCAACACGTGTGTATGGAATGGCAGATCCTGAACCAAAACGTACCACACTCCTGAGTGTGAGCAAATGGCAGGTTACTGCCTACTGGTTAGTGCTGGGGGATGAGCTGTGGTGGATTTCTGCTGTACAGTGGAGGGGTTGTTACAGAAACTGGATTGTGGGATAGTTTACATCAAGAAAAGGGTTTATTTTTTCCAGGAGATTTCAAGGTTCATTTTATGATGCTTACCACAGCGTGGAGAGATTCAATTTCGATCTGCATGTGGTGCCACTGCCGTCTCGCTTCACAGAGTTCTGCTCTGGCTGCCTTTAGTGCTTCTGCATCTTTCTCCATTCTTTTAATCGCAGCTTCAGCTAGCTACAGGGGATGTAAGAAAGATAACAATATTAAAAACATAGTCAAATAATGAAAATAACATGGATACGTAAAAATCTCTGGTTGGAATTTTTTGAGAGTCATATACATCTGTTGAAGCTTACAGTGATGAGTTAATATTTTCTGTACCATGCAGATGAGAAGCCCTTATCCTGCTGTGTTTGGTGGGAAGTAGTTGGCTGTATCTTATGACCCTAAAAATCCTATTAAAAGTAGGGTTTTTTTTAAGCCAACCCTGAGCATGTGTGGGGCCATTTTTGATTTGGTCTCGTCTTTGATTTAGATAATATGTTCATGCATTTAACTTCCAGAGTGATTGCTTTGCTTATGAAAGTTACTTTTCCTCTTTGATTCCAAGTTTTACTGCAAGTGCTGAAGGTGCCATAAGCTCTGGAACCAGTACATGCTCTTTCCCACATTTTACTGCTTTATGCAGGTTCCTGTGATGCCATCAACTCTAAGGAAATAAACTTTTTAATTCAGGTCGTATGAAGCAAGTCAAATAAGTTTCTTTTCTTCCCCTGTAAAATACTGACCTAGTGTCATTTTATCGTGCTATCATTTTGGTGAAAAATCTGCATTTGGCTAATGCGCAAGTGACCACTCGATATTCTTTGCTTGTCCTTTTTGGCTGCGGGATTTATGTGCCAGGATTATATGGATACACGTTGGCTGCTTCGTGCCAAACACGAATGTAAACTTGGTGTAACTGGTTTACAGCTGCTCCTGTCATTGGATCGCTGTGCAGCTCCGCCAGGCTGCAGCAGTCTGGCCTGTGCCTAAAAAAGAACTCCTGCAATACCGAAGAAGTACAACAGGGTGATATAATACCTCATTTTCACCCTCAATTTCTTGACGTTTGATGGCCGAGAATTGTTTTGCCATTTTATTTCAAAGTGCAGTTGGGTTTCAGAGATGTTTTGTACGTAAATCTATAACGGTAGCATTGTGTGTTGATCACATTTAATCGATCTATATGAAAAACAAATTATATTTGCTGAAGAGTATGACACAGTTTTACCGTGAACAATATAAAATAGTTTCTGAAAAGGTACAGTTTAATATAGGTGCTAGAAATGGTAAATCTTGCTGTATATAAATGGATTCGTTACATTGCCTTACATTTTCCAGGTTCCCCTTCCCTCTGGGGTAACTAACGGTGGTGGAGGTGACCGTGTCACTGCATCCAGCATCATTCCTTACACCACCACAACGTCCCGGCTGCAGGACAGCGGAGCAGCCGGACGAGTCCCAGGGGTGAATTCCGCGCTCTAAGCAGCGTCTATTTCTGTAGCTTCTAGTGCGCGTCCCACTGCGGGAAATCCGCTCCCTTCCCGACAACGCGCTGCGTGGAAACGGCGGTACCGTACCTCCGGGAGGCCGCGGGAGGGATGCGCAGACCGGGACGCTTCTTCCCCGGGAGGTGCGGGGCTGCGTGCGGTCACCACCTGCGTC